TTTTTGAGTTAGGGAAGGAAGAGGGAGAAAGGGAAAGGAGGAGGGAGGAAGGGGAGGGAAGAGGGAGAAAGAAGAGGGAAAGGACCAGAGAAAGGGAGCTGGCATTCCCTGAGTACCTGCTGTGTTAACTGTGGCACTGGGCCCTAGCAAGCAGAATACTCTAGAGCAGCACCATCCAATAGAACTCTCTGCAGAGATGGCAGTGTACTATAATCTGCACTGTACTATACGATAGCCACAAGTCACACATGGCCATTGAGCACTTGAACTATAGTTAGTGCAATGAAGGAGCTAAATTTTAAATTTTATTTAACTTTAATTAGCTTAAATTTGAACCTAAATAGCCTCGCTTGGCTAGTGGCCACCATATTGTATAATACCACTGTGGACCCTTGAGTCCCTCCCCAGGACACCCCAGGGTGAGCCAACACTACCTTCCACACTGAAGCTCCTCACGATGTTGGAGGCCGGGGTGGACGATTTGTCAGTGATGTACCTGTTGTAAAGGTCGATCATGTACTGCGGCGGCTCCACTCTGGTTTTGTTTTGGGAAGGGACACCGCTTAGGTTGAGGCTGCGCAGGAAATCCACTTTCATGTTCTCCAGGAACATCTTCAGGTCGAAGGCACCCTCGTCCTGGTTCCTTTGGGGCTCCCCTAGCAAGCTGTGGGCACTGCCTCCAGCAGACGCATGTCCCCAGGTCTCCAGCGGCTTTGCTTGCACGGAGCAGGCCAGGAGGGACAGCAGGGGCACAGTTACCCACAGAGCCCCAGGGCACATCTTGGGAAGGTGCTCGCCGGGCTAGGGACTGCGGGCTGGGGGCCAGTGGTGGGTTAGCGGGTGCAGGGAGGAGCCCTGGGGGAGCGGCCCTGCATCATCCTGCCGTTGCAGTGCTCTGGAGGCAGCTGGCCCTAGTTAGTCCCAGGCTCTCGCCGCTGTCAACCCCAGTGTCCTCCACTTGTGCTTATCTGGCCCCAACGCAATGCTCGACCCCTTATCTAATGAAGCTCTCCGTTAATGAAGGCTCTGTAAACATCAGACGAACACAGAGGGCTTGTGGGAAGGACAGTGAACATTGCAAGCATTCACATTCTCTGTGAGGTCATTGCCCCCCAATTAGGATTCATGCTCATTTCCTCGCCAGCTTGGTTCACAAGAATTTTGAGACAGGGGTGATACATGCTCCATCTCCTGGGCCATGGAAACTTAAAGAATACAGGACGCAAACAACACCAAAAAGTCCTCCAAATAGAGAAACCAAAACACCCAGAAGGCCTCTGGCAAGCCGGGAGAGACAGCATAGGTGTTAGGAAGAGGCCTACTTCCATGGAATCAGATCCTGTGCCACAAGCTCAGCAGCTCCCTGCGTCAGTTTCTCACTTGTAAGACAAGTTCTTGAGCACTAGAGACCAGGTGTGGTGGTGAAGGCCTGGGAGTCAGCCTAGACAGGGGTTCAAACCCCCGCTCCCTCTCTTACTTGCCTAAGTGTGACCTTCAGCAAGCCACATCATCTCTTTGGGCTCCATTTCCTCATCTGGAAATCGGGGCTCATAATACTTATTTCAGATGATAGGTGTAAGAACTTAAAAAAGAGGATGTGCCTAAAATGCCATAGCAGTTAGCCTGAGGGTTGCAGCAAGCCACAGCAGGTTGGTTGGTGTGTCCGGCTGCCCTGCTGTGCCCCTGGGTCTGACTCAGCTCAGAGCTGTAGGAGGGTCCCTGTGCTTCCCAGGTCTGCTCTGGAGGAGTCCCACAATCTCTCTGTGGTCTGCTGGTGCTGGCCCAAAAGGGTTCAGTGGTGTCAATGGGGTGGGCCTAGGGAGAAGTGTGCACTCTGGGTAGGCAGACAGGGGGTCAGGAAGAGGTGAGTTCAGACTTGTAGCTCTGAGGCTGGTGCATGTCCTGGAGAAGGTGCTGTTCCAGTGGCCCTGGCAGGCCCTCTGGCCTGAGGAGGCTGAAAAGCATGGCCCAGGTAGGGACCACAAGGCTCAGGGACCATGTTATCTTAAGGGCAGTAGCACCTGCACTCACAGTGTCCATTTCCCTCACGTGCACCTTTGACCAAAGTGAAGAACGAGCAAGACACTGGGCGGTGGGGGAGTTGGTGGGCATTAAACCACTAAGTGTGAGAAGCCCATTGGGCAGGGAAAAGATGAACACAACTGACGTCCCCTGAGCTGTGACTCTGCCTCAGCGGGGAGCAGGCTGGGAGGAACCAGAGGACAAGGCAGCACCCTCAACGGGATCCAGTCCCTGAAGGCAGCAGAGAAACCCTCATAATCCAGAGGTTGAGCAAAGCGGTGGTGTGGGTGTGGCCTGAATGTGCTCAGGGAGGCTTTACATGATAGTGGTTTAAAAACATGACAAAGGGACTTCCAGCCAACATGGTGCTATAGTCAGAAGCACCATGCCGTCCCTCCACAGCAAAGATCCGAAAAACTAAGTCAAAAAGAGTCACACGTCAATCCTGAAACCCTACGCATTAAATGAAGAGATAAAGAATTCAGGCAAGCACCAAATGGAATAAGAAACTGACTGAGAACAGAGAGCGAGGAGCGATACATGCAGAGGTCCCCTATCAGCTATCGCAATATGGATCCACCATGTTGGACTCCTACTGGGATCAACCAACAGGGGGTATGAGAAAGCAGCTTCATGGAGCATCCAGCAGGAGACAGAACAACTGTTAACCAGCAATATATGCTTTCCCACCCCCCCCCCTTCTTCACCCCCACTCAGCCTCCTCTGCTTCCTGTGGCCACAGTCCCTTGGCTGGGAAGCACCAGCTTCACATCGGTGTTGCTTGGATTCCACCCACCTGCACTGGCCTGCTCTGAGTGCCATTTGTTGGCTGCTGATGTTGTTTTTTTCCACTTCATGAGATTTCTTCCTTACCTCTTGCCACCTCCCCCTCCTTTCTCTCAGATACCTGTCTCCTTTGCCATCTTTGCTTCTTCCTGAAAGGCTGCAAACACTGCTCGACTGTGAAACTGCTCGCTGGCCCGTGCAGCCACTCTGGTGGGACCCCCGGGGCTTTTTCGTTTGTTTGTTCTGTTTTGATTTGTTTGTTTGTTTGCTTTCTTTTTCTTTTCTCAGCTTGGGAGACCTTCTAGTCTGGGAGTACTGCGCAGCTTGGGAGCTACTCCCTTTCTCTGCACAGATGCACAGTGATATCCCTGGGAGCATTTCTTTTTTCTTTTTTTTTCAGGGTTTTTTTGGTTTCCTTGTTTTGTTTTCCTCTCTCTCTTTTTCCCCTTTTGTCTTTCTTCATTTCCAGTTTCTCGATTTATTCATTTTTTCCTTTTACCCTTTTAAAAAAATGTTTTTTCTCCATTTCTCAGTCTCTCATCTTTCCACTCCAATAGCAAGCTCCCTTAGCACTCTTTTTTCTTTGTGTGTATGTTTTTGGCCCCTGTTCCTCTCTCCTCTCTCTCCTCTTTTGCATACTCATCTTAATTCCACACATCAAAATCTCCCCCCTTCTTCTTACCTACGTGGACCATGTGCTGAACATCACACAACCAAACAGCATAGGCACAGCCTACTGGAACCTGCCCTGCACTGATTCTGGGCTGCTCGTTCAGCCCTAGTACATGCTACGAACAACCTATCCCAGCAACTCCCCTTCTGTACCATACCTGAGTGACTGACCCTGCCCACTGGAGAAGGAGGTGAAAAGTATCGTGTCCGCAGATGAGCAAAAAACAAAGAACACACAGCCCGCCTGTTCAGACATAACCAAATAAAACAAAAAAGCAGGACAAAACAAATAAATCTACAATCAATAAACAAGGAAAATAACTACTGAATGCCCCAAAGATAGCAGACAATATCAAAACATATACAAAAACATGACAGGATGGTTCCAGGAGGCATCCAAAATAAAACACCAGATGACTTTCCAGTAGAAGAAAAGGCACTAGAACTACCTGATAGGGAATTCAAATATCTAATATTCAGAATTATCCAAGAGTTGAAGCAAAAAGCAGACAAAAATGGGGAAAAAATAGACAAATTCATGAAAAAGGCAGACGAATTCACAGAAAATACGGACAAAAAAAATGAAAGAATTCAAGAAAATAATACAAGAACAAAATGTTAAAATAGGAGGAGTTCTGGCAAAATGGCGCTCTAGGCAGAAGCACCATGCCGTCCCTCCACAGCAAAGATCTGAAAAACTAAGCTGAACAGAGAATACAACAATCCTGAAACCCTAAAACATCAAATGAAGAGATAAAGAACTCAGCCAAGCACCAAATGGAGTGAGAAAACTGACACAGAATGGAGAGCGAGGAGAGATTCAGGCAGAGGTCCCCTACCAGCTAACGCAGCGCAGATCTGCCATCTTGGACTCCTATCAGAGACCAGCAAACAGCGGGTATGAGAAAGCAGCCTCACGGAGCATCCAGCGGGAGACAAAACAACCAGTAATTTGTGATATACGCTTTCCCACCCCCCACCCTTCTTCACCCCACTCGGCCTCCTCTGCTTCCTGTGCCCACAGTCTCTTGACCAGGACACACCGGCTGCTTGGATTCCACACACCTGAATGGGCCAGCTCTCTGAGTGCCATTTGTTGGCTGCTGGTGTTGCTTTTTTCTGCTTCTTTTGATTTCTTCCTTACCTTTCACTACCTCCACCTCCTTTCGCTCAAATACCTGGCTCTGTGTGCCATCTTTGCTTCTTCTTGAGGGGCTGCAGAGCTCCGGTAACTTGTGATATATGCTTTCCCATTCCCTACCCTTCTTCACCCATGCTCAGCCCCCTCTGCTTCCCACGGACACAGTCTCTTGTGCGAGAAACACCAGCCCACACTAGCTGGCTCTCTGAGTGCCATTTGTTGGCTGCTAGTGTTGCTTTTTTTCTGCTTCTTTTGATCTCTTCCTTACCTCTCACCACCTCCCCCTCCTTTCACTCAAATACCTGGCTCTGTGTGCCATCTTTGCTTCTTCCTGAGGGGCTGTGGAGCTCCGTTCAAGTGTGGAGCTGCTGCCCAGTCTGGGCTGCTGCGCTGGTGGGATCCCGGGGCTTTTGTTTGTTTGTTTGTTTTGAATTATTTGTTTTCTTTTCCTTTTCTTAAGTTGGGAGCCCTTTCCGGCCAGGTGGTGCTGCGTGGCAAGGAGACTTTTCCCCCTCGGCTTGCACAGACGTGCAGAGGGATCCCTGGGGGAATTTCTTTTCTCGTTTTTTTTTTAATCTGTTTTTTGGGGGCCTTTCTTGTTTTTTTTTTTTGTTGTTTGTTTTGTTTTCTTTTCCCTCTTTTTCCCCTTTTGTCTTTATTCATTGCTCTGTTTCTCATCTCTCTATATCTTCCTTCTCTTTCTGTTCCCTGAATACCTGGCGTTGTATACCTCTATGCCTTCTAGCCAGGCTGAACTGCAACACCTGAGAGCGACTTCCCCAGACATCATAGCTGCACTGGTGGGATCCCTGGGAACTTTGTGGTTCTTTAACCTTTCCGATTTTTATTTATTCATTCTTTTCTTTTCTTTTCCTCCTCTTCACCTTTCTGTTTTTCTCCATTTCATAGTCTCTCATCTCTCCACTCCAA